CGCGCAGCTCACGGAGCTTCGTCATGCTCTCGGCGTGCTTCTGGAACTCGTGCTCGTAGTCCTTCTGGGCGCGCTCGGCGATGTCGGCTTGAGTCTTCACGTATTGCATCTGGTTCTCAGCCTCAGCCTTGTAGTCGGCTACATCATTGTTGAGTCGGGTGATCTCTGCTTCCAAGGTTTCCTTCTCTTGTCTGAGGACCAACGTGTCTTGCTCATGCTTTCCTCGCAGTTCGGTAAGCTCGGTGCTGCTTGATGCGAGCTCAGAAGAGATGTCTTCCACGCGCTGTTGCAGATCGCGGATAGTAGCATCCTTCTCTTCTTGTGCAAGGTTAAGTTGCTCCTGGAGTCGTTCGTGGGCCTCGACAAAGGTCTGCAATCGGTTCTCGGCATCCTGAGCGATGTCCTGGAAGCCGGCAATCTGGGCAGTGACGGCCTCCAGATCCTCTTCCTTGCGCTCGATCTTGCGCTTAAGATCCGAAACCTGTTCCGCGAGCTCTTCCTCGCGACTGACAGGATCTTGCTCATCGTTGGCCTGCGATCGTGGTTGAAGAGCCTGTAGGCGCTCCTCGGACGACTGAAGTTGGTTCTGGAGTTCCTTAAGGCGTTGTTCCAACTGGTGGCGCGTCGTTTCAGCGGTCGCAGACTTGACTTCGGCACTGTTACGTGCTGCAATGAGGTCGTCGATGCGTCGTTGCGTTTCGGTTCGCTCGTAGTCTCTTTGCTGGGTCGCCCTCTTGTGCTCGGCGATCTCGTCCTCCAACTTGCTTTCAGCGCTCTGCAAATCTGTCCGAAGCTTGTCCACCGTGTTCTGCAGCTCGCGTCGGCTCTCCGCGGTGGCCAACTCAGCTTCGTTGCGCAGACTCTGAATCGAGGACACCATGTTGCTCAACCGATCGCGCTCGGTCATCAACTCCTGGTTCCTTTCCTTAAGACGTGCTTCAATAGTCGCGGACATTTCCCGAGATGCCTTGAGCTGCACCATCTCGCCCTGCAAGCTCTGAAGACGTGCCTCAGCTTCCGCAGCGTTCTGGGTGGCCTTGACAAGCCTGTCGTCCTGTTGGGCCATGGTGGCTTGGACCTTGTTGTAGCGTTCCTGGAGGGAGTCCTTCTCGGATTGGAGCAGTTTGATGCTACCCTCAAGACGGGCATACCTGTCCTGCTCTCGACGCACCTGCGACTCGAAACGGAGTTTGTCGCTCTGGAGCTGAGAGTTGTCCTTGGTCAGACTATCAACCTGCGCCTTGAGTGTAGTGCGGTCTGTGGCACTCTCCTCTTTGAGCAGGTCAATGTGGGATTGAAGGTCCTTGATAAGCTTGCTGTACTCGGGGATCTCGCGGGATGAAGAGCCGTTCTCGAGAAGCAAGGGAGCTCCGCCTGCAGGCACAGACTGTGCGAAAGCGGATGTTGACTGCGAGTGAGACGGCAACTGACCCCGACCGCCAACTATGCGGCTGTACATGTCGCGCTCGGTCTTGAGGGTTTGCGAGCGAACGTTGAGTGACTTGATCTCTTCTTCCTTCTCAGCGACCACGGAGCGTAGACGGCCAAGCTCCTCGACGTCTTGCTGGTATTGCTCAGACTTCATGCGGACCTCTTGCCTCTCCTGTTCGTCGCCCACTTGTCGGAGTGTGCGCGTCAGTTCGGCGTTCTGTTGCTGCAGGGTAGCAATGTCCTTGTAGAGGATCAGGTGCTTCGTGATCATCTGGTGTGTAGGCGAGTCGTCTGGTACGTGCTTGTCCGGTACTTGGTTGTTCTCAAGAGCGTTGACGATGAACTCTTGCTGTTCCTCTGTGAGGCTGCCCAGACCCTGCTCTTCAACCTGGCGACGCCATAACAATGTCCGCAGCTGGATCGTCATGTCCTGTACCTGGCGACGCAGGAGAGCAGATTCGTTGTGTACGCCTTCCAAGTCACCCAGCGCCTTGCGCGAGTCGCGTTGTGCTGCCTCGCGTTCGGCAATGGCTTCTTCGAGAAGCGCGCTGATTTCGTTGTTCTGCTCGTTCAGGGCATCGTTCTGGCGGCGGAGTTCGTCGAATTCGGGTTGGTGACGCTCCAGCTCCTGCAGCATGTCGTTGAGGACACCGGTGTTCTCTTCCAACTTCTCACGGACCTTGCGAAGCTCTTTCTTGAGGTCGTTGTTCTCGATCAGTAGCTGAGTCTTGGACGCATCGGTCTTGAGCTGCGAGCCGCCAGGGGAGAAGACGACAGCAGGCGAACCAGCTCGGCCGGGCGTGCTGAAGCCACCGTTGATGCTCATGCCGTGTCGCGGCGTTCCGGGTACGCGGACGGAGCTTCGAAGCTCGGAGTTGTCGCTCTTGAGGGTCTCGACGAGCGTCTCGAGCTCAGCAGTGCGCGCATCGGCCTCGGCAGCCCTCTCACGTTCCGCCTCGACTTCGGCCATGAGCTGGCCAATCTCGGTCGCGGCTTCCTCTTGTACGCGGCTACTGTCCGACTGCAGCTGCTCCAAGCGCTTCTTGGTCATCTCGTTATTTTGTTGGTGCAGCGTCGACAGGCGGCGCGCGCTGTCGAGCTCGATGCGGAAATGGGCCTCGGCGGCTGACGCTGCATTCTCGAGCTCCTCGATGCGCAGACGGTCCTCCTCGGCCTTGCCCTTGAGCTCTTCAATGTGTTGTCGCAACAGCGTCTCGGAGCGGTTTAGGGTGTCGATGGTCTCGGCGGCGTCGGCGTTCTCGCGCTGAAGTTGGGCGATCTGGGCGTTCTTCTCCTTCCGGTACTTGCTGTGGTCGTCGGCGCGCGTCTTGAGCTCGGTCGTGTACCAGTCGTTGTTGCTGCGCAGCTGCTCGATCTCCTGCTGCAGGTTAGCCTCGCGGAACTTGACATTGGTGGCGGCGCTCTCGAGCGATTGCGTCTTCTCCTCGAGCGTCGAGACCTGCTTGCGCAGCTCGACAGACTTCTGGTGTTGCTCGGTGAGCTCCTTGGCGAGGCGGTCGTGTGCGGTCGTCTTGGTCTCGTGCATGGCCATGAGGTCGCGGTTCTGGGACTCGAGCGTCTTGATGCGCGACTCCAGCGCCTGCGTCTCAGACGTCGAGCTGGTGGCCGAGGCGCGCAGGTTGTGCAGCGCCGACTCTGCCTCTTGCCGTGCATTTTCTATAAACGCGTCAGTATCAATTGGACATGCACGGCTTCTGCATCTCGTACCCTCTTGGACTAGCTTCTTCTTCAATTCCTCGGCCTCCTTCTGCGCCTTCTCTGCGGTGGCCTTCAGGGTGCGCGCGCGCTGTTCTCCGCCCTGGATGGCGGCTTCAAGCTCGACATCGGTGCGGATCTTCTCCGATTGGAGGTCATCGTATGCGCGCGCCTTCGCTTCGATCTGAGTGAGGAGCGTCTGGACGAGCTCGACGGTGGGCTCGGATAGTAATGACTGTAGGGTTGTCTCTGGGACGGAATAGGACGCGGCCAGGTAGCCGACGTCGACGGTTGCCGCCATGATGGTGTATTAGTTTATTGCAGGCCTCGAACCATTCTCCGGGTCGGTCGAGTGGGTCCCGGGGAGAAAAGAGACAAAGGAGGGCGGTGGTGTTGACGCGAACAATGAACGGGTCCGCGGTCAAAGTCGCGAGTTCAGTTGTTTGACGACGGTCGCGCAGGGGCCAACCACTAGCGCGGCTGCCTCCTAAGGTTGAGGTCATAGCACATGTGCGTCTTTCTCCGACGCCTTCACTCGGCACCTTCCATTTACTACCTTCACCTTCACCCGCCGCACCTTCCGCGCATCCACGCTCACTACTACCGGACCTTCCCCGTTGTCTACCGTGCGACTCTTTAGCTAGACGCTGCACACTCGACTGCCGACAGCAGGCATCCTCGACCAGGCAACAGCCACCCCCGACCGCATCTTCAACTTCTACCACTACCACTACAACCACCATGTCCTTCCTCAAAGCGAACTCGGCCACAGGCATGAATGCCCCCTCACCCACACCCTCGAGCTCCTCCGCCAGCGGCAAGCGCAAGCGTCCAACCGATGGAGCGCCCCCCGTCGTCTACTCGCAGCCGCAGGACACAGGCACCGGCGAGCACGTCTTCACGCGCCTCACCTACGTCAACGACTTCCTGCGCGAGCGCAAAGAAAAATGGCACACCTTCGACGACATCATGGAATACCTCAACATCCCACCGGGCCACATCCAGCGCGAACAGCTGCGCCAGCTGATGCGCGCCGACAACGCCGGCAACAGGATCAGCTGGGACTCTGCAAACGAACGCTACAAATACAAGAGCAAGCTCAGCATCCACGACCGCGCGCAGCTCAAAGGCCATTTCCAGACGCAGAAGTCGGCCATGGGACTGCAGATCAAAGACCTGAAAGACGGCTGGTCCACCGTCGCCGACGACATCACCAAGATGGAGAACAAGAAGGAGGTGCTGGTGCGACGCGCTAAGGACGGTGTGCCAAAGACTGTCTGGGGCAACGACCCTTCTCTCATGCTGCCCATGGACCCCGTCTTCGCAAAGGCCTGGCACTCGGTCCAGGTGCCCGATAACCCGGACGAGCTGCGCAAGGCACTCTTGGCCAACAAGCTGACAGCCGCTACGCAAGCCAAGGTTATTGTTGCCGCCCCTACGAACAAGAAGAAGAAGGGTCCTCGTCGTGGTGGCAAGCAGACCAATACCCACATGATTGGCATCCTGAAAGACTTCTCCGGAATGAGAAAGTAGACGAGTCTGAGGCTTGCCATCTCTCTCATTTGATGAGGAGTACCCTTTTGCGTCTGTGGTGGTTATGTATTTCGCATGTCATGAGTGGCTCGTCTCGCTGTGCGTCATCGCAGTACCATGGATGGCATGGAAGGAACTGAGATAAAGTAGACCATGTTTGTTTCTTAACTGCATAGCGACGGCGTTGGCACATGTTTTCACGTATACTGGCGTTTTTTCTCTGGGCAACGTGGGAAGACCGTTGAACCTCCTTCAAATTGGCATAGAAAATAAACATATGTAACATTATGCATTCCCTCTTTCCCAATTACTCTCTCCCTTCAAGCCCTCTCCCCCAATGCAGTCTGTCTCAGTGAAATCATACTCCGCAGCAACTGACCTACACGCACACTGTTAGCAATGTCCTTCTTCTTCTTCTCTAGAGTAGGTAGGGTACTTACACCGCAGCTAGGACAGTCGGTACCACAGCCGCACGGCGGCACGAATCTGGTGGCGCAGCAGCTCTCGAACTGCTGGCGGGCTTGGAGGTCGCCTTCTACGACGTCGTAGGCTTTGATGCTGCCGTCGACTTGCAGGACGTAGTTCGTGGCGGCGAGCGTGGTGGACGCGCAGAGGAGGGTGAGGAGGGCGGTGAGCTTCATGGTTGTTGAGATAAGGAGGTTGTAGTTGTAGGTAAACGTATTCTTATTGTCTGTCTGGATAGGAGGGTGGTCGTGGTCGTGCTATACCTAGATACTTATACCCACACAGCCCATCCCCCATCTCCTACCCCGGCCGTCCATCTCTACCCAACACGTACCTTTCATATATCCACATATCCACATCTCCACATCTCCACATCTCTACTGATCCAGCCTCGTTTGTTTTTCGTCCGTTGCATCACAGACACTGCGTACGCATTCTGTGGAGACGAACCCCTTGCATTTCGGCCCGGTAAGGTTGGGGTTTGCAGACTAAAGGGCTGAATCACATCTAGGCGGTACTGGGCATCACACCATGAATGAAGTGATGCTGCGGTGAGGAGATGGGGTCGGAGGTGGCCGCTGGTGGCTTTTTCGTTGTTGCTGTTGTGATTGTTAGTGTTAGTGTATGTGGATGTGGATCACAGCTAGCTACGGGGTGTTGAACTAGGTATCCGGTGAAGATGGTTATGGAAAGCAGACGTTGATATTGAACTTTTCGAATTCGTTCTTTCAGGCCAAGGCGGATAGATTACAAACATATCCCAAGTTTCTGCCCATAAGATATCATACACAACCCCAATATACTCCTCCCCATCCTTTCTCCCCTCCTCAAAGATTTCAGCAAGAAGACTACACGCCAATCCATCATTTCATTCATTTCACAACAAAATATACACCACAAGCATTCTCATACGCCCTCCCACACCCACAAGGCGGAGCGAAATTATTCGAGCAGCAATCCGGGATAAACTGGCGTGCATCCAGCTGCGGATCTGGTACAATCTTGACAGAGCCGTCGACTTGAAGGATGTGCTTTGCGAACGCGGTGCTCGTGCAGAGAGCGCTGAGTAGGGCTGTGAGACGCATGTTGGCCGGGTGGGTAGATGTGGTGGGTTACCTATTGTTGATTGGATTCGGGATGTGGGGATGTGGTTGGTGGTGTGGATATAAGTATGTATACTACTTGTGTCCCAAACATCTCAAACCTTCCTTCCACCTCAACACCACACACATACCTTGCGCACCTCCAGCTTCCCTTTCCTTCCCTCCCCATCACCTCACCTCACCACCTCACCCACGCACACACAAGCCGGCCCATTTCCGCACACCACCCCCATCGTTTCGGCCCGTTCGCGTCCACTTTCCAAGCTTAGTCCGTACCTAGGTATATAGGCTGAATAGCCAGCTCTAGCACCTGGGCAAAACCGCACATCACCACCTCTGTCGTCTCTACTGCTTACATGTGGGTATCCTTACCGCGGGCGCAAGAGCCGTACAATGACCTGCAGCAGTCAACGGCAGTTGGATGCGCCTGCATAACCCGGGCATGGGAATGCAGGACAGTGATGAGGGAGGTCGCGGTTTGGGTGGGCGGGAGGATGGGAGGATATGGTGACGATGATGTTGTAGATACGCGTATTAGGTTTCGCGCCGTTGGAGTAGAGCGGTTTTAGTGTCGTGATAGATTGCTTGGGTCGACGATGGTAGCTGGTAGCCTCGTTTCGAGTATCTGGTCGCCACTTGACGGCTTTTGGTAGTGGTTTCCAAAGTTGTCGCATGAACATTCACCGCCTTTCTTCCCTGTCCTGTACAGTGGTTCCACGGTTGTTTCTCGGTCGCTCGATCCTACTTAGTTACCTAGCCTTGCACGTCGCAATTCTGGCACGAGTGACGAGGCTGTACATGAGGTGTAGAGGACCAGTTTGAAGGGTCTTATCCTGGGTGGAATGTTTGGTGTATGGATTGGTGTTATGGCGCCATCTCTGGTGTACTGTATTACCTCGACCTTTCCAATGGTTCGGGTTCCGATCTGTTCTTGTTGTGATTTGTAGTACTATTTAGGTAGGAGGCTGGAGGGCTGATTCACATCTTGGCGCCGCTGGGCATCAGATTGCGACTTTAGGTGCGGTGCGATGAGTTGGGGCGGTGGGATGGGATGGAAGTGTCGTGCGATGGAGGTGTTGTTGCTGGCGTTGTTGGTGGTAGTGCCCAGGTGGTAGTGTGCAGAAACCACTGCCATGTGTGAGTATTGTCGGACCTGGTAACTGGGAATTATGAGGCTGGAGGAGAGTCCCGATATTTACCCGTAGCTGTGGCCCAAGGTGATCTGGGTTGGCGGTCAGTGGTTAGTGATACGAGAAGCCATGTCTGTCGTAGTCCTGTCCGTGTCAGCTGTTATTGCTTCTAGTAGCTATCTACTTCACTCTTCATGGCACTCATAAACTTCGAAATGTTGAAATCTGTACTTGCACACTACCTAATATTGACATTAGCGCAGATGTTTGATTCCATGCTGACATCAGGCTATTACGCCCTTGATCCCCCCTCTCTTTCTCTCTCTATCGTCATGTCTTTGCCTCTCTTCCCCCTTGGACGTTTTCTCATACGTCTCTTCTCGAAGAATCCCTCCTTTCCAGAAGTGCCCGGTCATGGCGGACTATCGCACCTCTCTAAAAACCGCAGCACTCAAGCTACACCCAGACACATTAGCAAAGCGTCCCATGATCAACCCGACGTATCGCTCTCATTCATCCCCTCCAGGGCTCTCTAGTTCCGTCTTCTTCTTCGTCTCCTTCATCTTGAGTCGAGTAGGAAATACGTACACCACAGCTAGTACAAGGTGCAGGTGGGCAAACACAAGGCCCATTGAAGTTGGTGGAGCAGCACCCTGGGATCTGGCGTGGTAGCAGATCGCCTTCTGCCATCGCTTTGATGGAGCCGTCGGCTTGGAAAATGTCGATGGCGAAGGTGGTGCTTGCGCACAGGGCGGTTAGGATGGCGGTGAACTTCATGGTTGGTTCGGGATGGGCGGCTTGTGCGGATAGGTGTGGAGTTTTTGGGATGAGATGGCGATGGGGGTCGCGGTAGTGGTGGTGCATGTATTTATATTCACCGACCTACCTGTTGTACAACGACCTACGTACAACGTTTGTTACTGCTTACTGTATTCCGCTTCTCCCGACATATTTCGCATCGCATCGTATATTACCACGTACCTATGTACATGAATGTTGATCCCCCTCTCTCTTTTCTTCGGCCCGTCGTCGTACGAGCTCGTCGCTAACCTGGGTAATATAGGCTGAATAGCAGCTGGGCGAACCGAACATCCCCATTCTTCTTGTCTCTACTGCCTCTCAACCATGGTGCTTCCCTCCTGTGCGTCATGCATCCTGATCAAACATTCTTTCCGTCCGCGAAGCCAAGGTTTGGTTCGTCGTAATGGTTTCTCGCCTGATACGCACATGTAGTTCTGGAATATCGGGTTGAAACGAAATGTCTTTCGTCATCGTCGTCGTTACTGCGGCGAGTTGGGGTATTTGAGGACTTGATCGCCAGCGCTTTATTCGTGCTACATGGATGTCGCTTGCTCGGGTTGATAGCTGAAGATGCGCACAGCATGCGAGCCTTGGAGTGCCGTTTGAGCCCTTTGGTCGCGTATCACTGAAACATGTTGTGTAGTGCTGTTGGTAGTAGCCATCTTATGTTACGTCATGTACACATGTATTCGCTAACCCACGAATAGTGCTAACGACTACTACCACACGCAAGATGCGATGAATATACTCTAGAGCATACATGAAGACGCAGAGTTTCTTGGCGTGACGAACACTGCGATCCAAATGTTCACCGCTACCTTCCCTACAGGGCCCTTCTTCGGTTACATCTCGGCTGACTAACTCTAGGGCTTACATCAATTATGCCACGGTTTGATTTGCTCGCTCTTCTCGATTTTGCCAGTGTTTCCATCGTCTCGCAGAACATTGAGATACAATACGACAACACGACATGTATAATTCGTGGCGTCGTTATTGGCATCATGTCACCACCTCAGGTTTGGCACCGCGACCTTTCCAATACGGTTCTTGTCCCAGCCGCTCGTCCACGAAGCGTTCAGGTAGGCCGATATCTTTGCTAGAATCGTAGTCTCCACTGAGTTGACAATCCGTACACAGCGCGCCCAGCTTGTTAATCCTATCTCTCGCTTCTGTATACCGCTCATTCTCTTCTTGGAACCGGGTCTTCATGTCTTTGAGTATGGAGGCAAGATGTTCCTGTCGCTGCGGCGTCACCTCAATCCATATCTTTGGGCATTCTAAGTTGTCGCTGTAGCGCGATGGTTCCCACTTGATGTCTTCGTTCCAGCCCCAGTTTTGCTCCGCGCTTATAGGCCCGTATCTGCTGAACATGTTGTATAAGATGATGGATGTCTGGATCCCCTCAGCGGCAGCGGCTCGGCTGATCGATGCCAGGCTATCCAGCCAATCGTCCTTCCAGTCTAGGAGCGGAAGTTCGACACGCAGGTGCGCGAGCTGGGGGAAAGATGTCCGCTTGTTCTGCACCACCAGATCGAGTGCTGGGAGTAAGCATTGCGGTACAAACGCGGTAGCTCCGATGTTTTCACGCGATTCTTGCGCCTGAGCTCGCGTAATCCAGAGTTCCTGGAGGGTTTTGGGAAGTATGGACCAAAGCCTGTCTCTCGATGCGCCAGTCCGGAAGGTCGTCTGGTCCGTGAACCCTTGATGGCCCCATATGTACACAGGTGCGACTTTGAGACGCTTGAGGGCGGTGAAAGACGTGAAAGAACACGGATAAGCCTTCGAGCGCTCGGCACTACCGTTATCAACGTACGGGTAGAAGTCTTCGTGGCTTAACCCCAGCGTTTCCAGCGTCTCGTGATGTGGCTCCAGGCTTCGCATCATCGCCGGATGCTCCGTGTCGCACCATGCCCACGGGCCTCCAAGCTCGTAGTTGAAGGTCTTGAGTCTTCCGGGTATTGTCGCGTTCAACATGCCTTGGAAATTTTCCATGTCAAGCTTTGCGCATCGCAATTCCAGATACTCTATTGGGCATGATCGTGGCTCCAGCTTCGAGAACAAGTCATTCTGGTCGTGGACTTCGCCGTCGCCGTGCTTCCATCCGTATATAGAGCGCACGTTTGGTAGACAAAAGAAGGCTGCGACGTGACTGGTAGCGCTAGAATATTTGTCGTCTGCTCCAGCGACCAGGATATCGATAGGTTCTGACATTGCGTGCGGCTTCCCACGGATGACCTTGGGTAACAACGAGACGAAATCATCATGGCCATATATGCCACAATTGATGTTCAATCGTCGAAGCTTCGGTAGGCTGACGAGTAATAGCGCCATAATAGCATCCTCATTCTTACCCGACTGAATCATCTCATAGACAACAAATGCCTCTTCGACGCTGGAAGTGCACTCCGCGCACTTCTTCCTCAAGATGTCGTGGGTTCCAGGGTCGTCAGATCTTGGCCACGAGCTGTTGCAATACTCCTCTCCAACATCCGCCCAGCTACTAGTCACAATGAGGCATTTGACCAGACTGGCATGGGCGGGGGAAGTGAAGACTAGAAATGCGAGAGCGGCAAGGTTGTCGGTTTCTCTCAGGTAAATCTTCGAGTACAGCCATGGCGTCGCGAGCCGATTAAGTGTTCTGGAAGTACGGCATAGGCTAAGGAGAGATTCGCGTGGGGATAGTGAGACAATGTGTTCGAGAAGCTCGGTGGGAAGCTTCTCTTCAATGGAGAGCGACATGGCAAGGACGACCGCCTTACGGTGGCAACTTGAGTATATGAAGAACGGGAATGAACAGCCGTCTCAACATTCGGAAGTGGTTCATGGCTTTGTACTTACCTGTTGCTCGTTATGCAAGGCCACCGGGGCGTATCGGGGGCCTGCTTGGCATCATGCTGGAGTTGCTGCAGGTGGTGGTTGTGGAGTTGCTTACGTGACGTCATCGCTGCTCCACCCAATCACTTCGAGTTTGCTGCCTGAATCATCCACTCTTCATAGATCTAAAACATTCCCATTTGAAAGCTAAGTACAGATCAACGCTTTCTGCCTTCGCTATCATCATCTAGTGCGCAGTCGCCCCAAATGGCCATCCATTGAGATCGATGTTGAGTAGCCTTCCCGATTCGATTTCCTTAGCACGAGACTTCAGGTCGTCGATATCCCAGTTACACCACAAGAACTTGCCCTTGAGGAAGCGAGCCTCTGGTGTCGAGAGCCAGAGATTGAAGCTCGCTGGGAGAGTGACTATACAAAGAACAATTAGTCTCACCGCAGTGTGCAGTAGGGTCGTACACTCACCATCATCAGTCTTGACATGCTTGAAGCTATCTGCCCCACCGACTCTACGGTTCATCTCCGTCAACACAACGCCAGGCTGGGTATGAAAGACGCTGAGATTAGGTTTCGCAAGGAGTACCATGTCCCACAAGCGGTACACAGCCATCTTCGCAACGCAGTAGGACGCGTAAGCATCGTTTAAACTCAAATGGGCGCCCCAGGAGTTGATAGCGACAACATGCGCATCGGGTGCAGCATGGCGTATGAAAGCTTTCGCGACCCACAAAGAGCCCTCAATACTCCCAGTTACACCTTTAAGAAACTCGCGCGCGTCAACCTCAGCGAAGTTCTCAGTCGGACCAATAACAGCAGCGGCGTGAATAAGCGTATCAATTTTGCCCTCTCTCGCGAAATTGTCAAAGGCCAAATTGACAGATACCTCGTCGGTAACATCGGTGCTTTGGATGAAGACCTTCGTGCCAGGACATTCTTTCTCGATAAAGGCTTTGTTCTCGAGCAGCGGACCCTCGCGGCGTCCTAGCAGACCGATACGTGCGGCACCTGCGCGGGCGAAGAAACGTGCTGTCTCTCCTCCGATGCCGGTGTTGCCGCCTCCGGTCACGAGAATGGATTTGCCTGTTTGAGAGAGGGCTGGGAGGCTGGGGTCGCCGGCGGGTTGGGCTTTGTTGTGCCAGCGCTGGACTGGAGATGGGAAGGGAGGAGTGGAGGATACCATGGTGATCTGAATGAGTTTTGGTGGAGAAGAAAGGATTAATTGCTGCGTGACTTGCGACTGATATCACTTGAAAAGATGCGGATGTCCTGGGCATTCGTAAACGAGGACGATTCATCATTCTTATAACGTTCTTGTGCCCTGGTTGGGGAAAGAGACACGGCGGAGTTCACGAATCCCGACGTACAAAATGTTCCGCCCGACACTAGTGAAATCCGGACGCACTGATTCAGTTCGGATGGGGTGGCGCTTTTGCCGGTTGGTATGTCATGCATACTCGTACACAAATACTCATTGATATCTCGCTGTTGGTATATCTCGCTAGAATCCATCAAGCCATATCGCTAAGCCATAGAGGCCGTGAGCATGATCAACCCGCCCATGCTGTCCATACCAGAACACCATTCGGCCCAACAGGCCGCGCTACGACTAGCTCTACTCGTATGAATCTGAGATGGCGTCTCGTCATTCGATGGAATGTAGGGCAACCACGCATCTCGGCAGGACAATCGACGCTGGTCCAACCTTACAACCTCACCATCGACAGCCAGCGCAAATGATGCCTCTTCTCGCGGCTCGTTCTGCCGTTGCCTTTGCCACTCCGCTGCATCCTGGGCTTCCCAGAGTTGCCGTTTAGCGGGCAGAGGCGCAATCACAAACTCAGTGGGCATGTCGCACATGGCTGCTGGGTCGAAGAAGACGAGCTTGTTCAGGACGCGATAGATTACCGCGAGTCTATCATGGGTTTTAGTGAAGGAATATGGAACGGTTATCGGAATGATCAATGTACCTTCGCCTGGATTCTTTGTAAACCCAGTCTTGCCAGCTGTTAGTTGACTTGCTGCGACATAATACGTCATGCGTATGGCAATCAAAATCGTCGCGAGAAAGTTGGATTGCGACGAGCTAGAACGAATATCGTTAGATGTGTTTCCTAAACGTGCGGACATATTGGACTCACAATGACTGCCCTCTCTAAAAGATAATCCAGATTATTATGCTCAGTCTCGCCTTCGTCGATACGAATCAAGATGTAGACCGAAAGAGCTTGCATAGCACCTAGTAGTTCCCATTTGTTCAGAGTTTGGTTCTGGTCACAGATGCGTTCACACTCGGTTCTCACATTCCGCCAGAAGAGCTTTCGGCTGCCTTTCACTCGGTTCGCCATCATGTGCATCAACGCGATGCAATTCCCAAGTGGTTCTGTTGTTGTCCCTTCATCCATGAACGACACATAGCTTGGATGTATGAAAGGTGGCAGGTCATTCTGCTGCAGCATCAGAGGGTAAGACTTCAATGTGTAGAAGATGAGACTGGCCGCTCTTTCCGCTCCCTGGTGCATCTTTGGCCGTTGTGTCATTGATCGGACGTTCAAACTGGGGCCAGGTGAGATGGCAAAGCACAACGACTGTTGTCTTTGGGTTTGATGTTGCCGCTCCCGCTGACGAGTAACTTCATTCTGTTCGTCGGAGATTGGGCCTGTTAATTCCAGCAACGATGAAGGAGGCGTAATGGTCGTCGGGCTGGCTGATCCTGGTGAAGATGATGTAACTGAAGGGAAAGCCGGCTGAGGCGTAGGTATCATGTAGTCGTCAAAAGCCGTCATATCGTCGAGGCCCCACTGTAGGTCTTCGAACACGGGGTCATTGCTGGCCGATGTAGTAGCCAGAAGACCTTGAGATTGATCGGCTACAGTTGGCACAACCGGGTTTGCATGACTGTCAAGGGGATCATCCAGGTCTTCGGGGGTAGCACGACGCACAGCATCACGCTTTTGCCTCGTAGATCTGGAAGGATAGTGACACATGAGACCCCTTCTGGTACAGCGCGAACATTCTGGTAGTGCGTTATCGCACGCGGTCTTTGCCTTTGCGCAAGCCGCGCACGATCGCCGTCTCGGGACAGAGGCTCTCGTATTAGACCGACAGTAATATCCATGACGTTTCAATGATGATTCTTCGAGACCGGTCAGTTCGATGATCTTTGTCGCAAACTTCGAGCAACATGGCAAGAACACTGACGCTTGGTGAACGGCTTGTTGCACTGGCGGCACCAAAGCACACCCGCAGGTACCTGCTCCGCCATCCGGTGCTGGTACGCAGGCGAAGATGAGGGTTTGTGACCCTCACGAGACAGCTGGTTCGGGACAAATTGAAGGCAAAAGAGTATTCAGGTGGCGCAAAATAGAAGCTTGGTCTTGACAAGCTCAAGATACCTAGGTAGTCCCGAGGTCAAGGTGGGTGGTGCTGACATATGCGGCAGGGACGCGCCCCACCTACATCCTTCGGCCGGTACAAATTGTAATCCCCACCTCTACCAACATACTGGCCTACTGTTGAAGAGCCATGGGGTCAACGTATTGAGGTGCGCGCCGCTATACCCGTATGTTGTGTTCGACATTCGTCTCGCTATTCCTTAGCATTAAAACAGCGCTTTCGAGACAGTCCCAGCACTTGTCTAACACAACATTGGTTCTCAATGAGACGCCAATGCCTTGCAGCTTAGGGAAACTATCATAACGTGGTACTGGGTGAGCGCGTTATTCCAACTTCGAGATCTGATGTTCATCATTTCACAGCTATCTGTGTCGTATGAGTCTCTCACCGATCTCATGCTATGGAACAGGTAAGAAGGTGCGCTGAAACCCACATTACAACAATAGCAACATAAAATCTCGAAATATAAGGCAATGTAGCTTTTTCAGCTTTTTTTTTTTTGGATGTACCCCGTGAAGCGGCTGCCAGTATTTTCCTTAATTGCGTTGCGATAATGCATTACGTAAATAGGAATTGTGTTCATAGGCTGTTGTACTTCTGTTGTAGCAGCAGAAACAAAGGACGGTATCGATCATTGCAAGCATGCCTTTTTGATCCTAGTCAACGCGAGACACGAAGCTGTTAATGGGACATCACCAGGGTTCAGCTCTCCATCACTATCTCACTATCAGCATCAACAAAGCCATCAAACATGTGACCATTCCAATACAAGCCCGGAAAACACCGCTGCTGTGCTATCCCATTGAAACTGCGAGCTGCCCTCAACCCTATCGAAGGAGAAATAGAGACGCCGAATAATACGCCGAGGATGCCGCTTCTTCATCAAACCAAAAGAAATGCCCTAAACCCCATCCTTGCACGTCGTGTACAACATCCCTCCACAAGCCGTCCGCCAAAATCATCTGACAAAGAACAAAAAGTAATCAACAGCCAGCGCATTTCCCAACACGTCCGTCGCTTACGCACCCCACTTCTTGACCGCCTCGCCCAACTCTTTTGTCAGTCCTCTCCGGACAGCCAGCAGCTCTTCTTTCGCATTCTCAGCCTCTTTCTCGCTCCTCTCGACCCGTCCTCTCAGTTTTTCGACTTCGTTCCTGAGTTCTTTTCGTAGTTCTTTGCTTGCTTCTTCTACGGCTGTTAATCGATCGACTTCCACCCGCATCTTTTCGCCTGATGTTTCGACGGATTCTAAACGCTCTTTCATGGCCATCATCTCTTTTCTCATATTCTCGGACTCTTTCTTCAGCGCGTCGGATTCGATTTGCAGGCCGCGGTAGGCGTGGGATTCTTTTTCCATGCGCTTTTGGAGGTCGGTCTTTTCGGTCTCTAGGCTGGTATTTGAGGCTTTGAGACCGGCATTTTCGTCTTTGAGATGTTGGATTCGATCTGTTAATGCGCGGTTTACGCGCTCTGGTGCTGGACTGCGTGGGCTGAGGATGGATAACGGTGATGGG